TTCCCCAGGCTGGCTGGGGAAAAAACCCTTATCTAGTATTTGAGTAAATGTGGTACTCCTTCCTCAGGTTTAGAGTTCCTTTGACATAAAAAGGGTGGCTCCCTTAAATAAAATGTTACAGGAATCTTTAAAAAGAAAAAAAAGATATGAAATTGTTCGCTCATATTAAAAGATGTCCTTTTAATGTTCCTCAGACTAAAAACGCTACATCTAATTTTTTAGAGAAATACTAAAATGCAACATTTTTTTCTGGATAATGTTACAACAGTATCAATGTACTATTAATTAGCATGAACAGTAGATTGATCCTTGCACATCGCTACATGATTTATTCAAGGTTTACCTATTGAATGTGGCTCCTCAGTCACACAGTCACTTCCCAGTATTATGAAGCATGAACAGTGATTCTCAAACTTTTTAGACTCAAGGCACCCCTTAAAAAGTGCCAACTCTTAGTTGTCGTTAATTTTTTGATGACAGAAGAAAGAATAGCGCAATTCTTCAGTTTCAAAGAACTCAAAAAGACTACAGCAAGTAACAATATATTTTAATAGTACAGATTCCTATTTGAAATCTCTCGGTTTATCTTGTGAATCATGTTTGCATACCCACCAGTGCTAACATTACATGGCACCCCGTGGCAATCTCAAAAGGATCTCAAAGTATGCCAGGGTGCCTAGGCATCCTGGTTGAGAATCACTGGTCTAAAAGATCTGGCAAGTATTTGGGCTGATTATGCTTCTACCAACATAAAAAGGAAAATTGTCTAGCCTGTAGGTGCTAATGATACATAAATAATTACAATAAAACCCGTAAAATAAAGTGACAGTATTAAAACATGCCATTAGTGCATGAAATATTAGTTAAAAGATCTAGGCTTCTCCTTTCAAAATCCAGCTGACACTCCTCTTCCCATCTCAGGTGTGATAATAATATTGATTTCGTTCCCCAAATCCATCACCTTTCTTAAATAAAGACTAAACCAAAGGAGATTTGATACTTTTCTAAGGGAATGCAAACCTGTTCCAATTGCTGGGAAGGTGACAGACTTGTATCCTTTCAGTTCACACTCCTGGAGCACTTTAGACACCTGGCCTTTGATGTTGTTATGGGGAGCAAGGTGAATAATATTCGTACACATCAGCTTTCCGCCCTGAGTGGTTATGAAGCCACTGTGACGCTGTGCACCTGGAAGACAGAAGTTAAAAAAATGAGTCATAAGATAAACAGATCAACTCTGTTATAACGTATCTTCAGCTGGTGGGGAATTGTTTCCCTGACTTTAATGCTGATTTACCTTCAGAAGATAAACTTGCCTGATTCTTGCAAGCAGAAGTGTAGTAAGAGAATCTATCTTATATGTTTTATCCATACACACCTAGTGATATTCTAGCAGCTTTGCCCAATTATTGTTTTCACTGCTAGCTACTCTTAGCATATCTTCCATTGGTTGGGAACTGTGCACACATGCATCATTTCCTGCCTTACTTATCAATAAAACCGGGAAACTCTACAACGGACAGTTTAGCATTTAACACAGCCAGCTTTCTAAATTCACATTTAACTTACAAATATTTAATTTGTATTCACATTTCTAAGAATGTATGCCAGCAGAAAGGCTACACAATTTCTGCCTGAAAACCCCCTATTTTCTGCCTTACCTTCAGAGATAACTTCTTACTATCTCAGAGCCAAGCTGATTGATTTTTAAAAGACAAGGAGATTACAGGGCTACATTAAGGAGCCTGAGGCACATAGGAAGCAAAAAGTCTTATAAATTATTATTTTGTCTGGAATGTAAAATGAACCTACATTACAAAACTCTAGTGGCTTTGTGAGTGTAAGGGCGGAAACAAGTGCTGCCTTTGTGCCACCGTAAAAAAATGTTATACTGGCATATAGTGAAAGCAAACAGATGTCCGTGCCTTTTGGCACACCACAAATGCTCAAATCGGTGGCCATGACAGAAGGGAGCGATAAATTGTGCTGCTTTATCATGACCAATGTCTGTTTGTTTGTGGTGGGAGAGGACAGGCTGCCCAAAGCTGCCTGTGCTTTCCAGCTACCCCAGGCAGGGAGTCGGTAAGCTTATGGGCCTGGTCCTGCACACCCCAGGAATTTCCAGGCAGAATCAGGCCCCTCATGCCTTGGGGGGTGCCTGCCTCATTTTCCCTGCTTACCCAGATGAGTCCCAGGGATCTCCTGATATGTGCTTGGGTAAGTGAGGCAAGTCGGGGTTTCCCCATTTACTCAGACAAATACCCGAAGCCTCCAGGGAGTGTCTGGGTAAGCAGGAAAATGCAGGGCTTCACCCCAAAGCAGGGTACATGTTTCTGGCTTGCAGATATGTGCCCCATGTTGGAACACAGCCGTGATACACATTTCCCCAGCATGTATCTGCGAGTGCAAGGGAGGGGGAAACTCTCATTGGCTCCGTATATGCAGCCCATGCTCCATGTTGCTGCCAGCATATCGCAGCACAGCTAATTGTGCGTCACACATAATGTCTGTTTTCATTCTAAGGCTACACATCGCCCAACACAGCAAAAGACAATGAATGAGAGATACATGCCCATTAAAAAATGTTCAGAGTTCTCCATGCTTATTGACCCAGGAGATGAGAGCATTAGGTCCTTTGCAGGCCATCTTCAGTACTTTGCCAGATCAGGCTTGCAAAAGGGAATAACTCATGGATGTGACAAGAAAAAAACGGCTTAAAAAGGTGCAACGTTGGGATTTATCTGCTGAAATTCATGGGGTCTTCCTTTCATTTTATGCCTCATGATATGTACTGACAGTCTTTTTTAAGCTAGTAGGGTTCAACCCCAGTGGACAACGATTTCATTTCAGTACTAATCTAACAGAATAGAAAGGCTATTGAAAAGCGCCTACATGTGGTATATAGAGAGTTACATATTTTCAATTAAATACATACTTTCAATTGCACTTTCAAATCTGAAAGACCCCAAACTAGCAGTTGTGTGAACCGTCTCCAGATCCCATCCTCGTCGCCACGTGCAGGTGGCGGGGAGCGATCCGGGCCCTTTTTTGCACCGCGCGGGCTGTGGCCAGCAGCCCGGGCTCGCTAGGTCGGAGAGAACAGGCGACACGCTGGAATTAGGCACGGACGCGTAATGGTTGATTTAAAGATTGTTTACTTACACCGAAGATGGTCGCGGTGCGGGCAGGAAAACTTGCTTGAGTTGCGGTTACAGACAGGAAAGAAGAGAGGCGGACTAGAGTTCTAAACTCGCGAACTCTAGCCCAATCCAGCTGAAGGCTCTAAACATGCGAGCCCATCGTGTCAACCGAAGAAAGTACTCGTACAAAAGAGCTCTAATCCTTTTGTTCACTCACACGAAGTTTGCTAGGCTCCGTGGGTCCTTTTTTTGCGCGCAGGGAAAGGGATACGTCGAGGTTTGCGAACGGCGACGGGGAGAAGAATCGATAGGTGATCAGTCTATCGATCAGCAGCCTCAGGTCAAATCTCCTTAGAGGCACTCTGCAGCGTGCTCAAAGTTCTCCAACTTGGGCGGAAACCACTCAAGCTTTTTATACGGCTAGCAACCCAATCCCTAGCCCCCACGTGTGAATGATTTAACGCAAGCCAATAATGGGACTCGAATTAGAATACAAATGGCGGGAACTCTTTGCACCGAGCATTTCTTAGCTGCAAAGAAGAAATGCACCCTGCAAAGAAAGCTACAAATTGGCAGGAAAATAATTCAGTGGTGCCAAAGCACACAAAAACAAAAATCACACCCTTTGGGTTGTGACAGCAGTATTTAGGGGACCGATCCTGCACCCACTGAGTCCCTGGCACAAATTCCATCAACTTGTCTATAAGTGAGATCACTCCCAAAATTGCAGACACCTTGGTTCAAGAAGAAATTTAAAGTATGTAAGCATAAAGTTCTACTAAAGTCACTACGACTGTTCATCTTAGTAAAGAGGCACATGCTAAAGTTTCTTCATGATTCAGATTCTAAGACTACATTTATTTTCAAATGCTCAGTAAGCTCCAAAAATCTCTGCCTTTCCAATTCTCTTCCTTCTTTAAACATACTTGTTGTCCAAGTGACAACTGCCCTGAGAGTGGAAATATTCAAAAACAAACTTCCAAAAGGCCTTTGATTTAGTATCCCACAATGTCCTTGCGAGAAAATTGGAAGATTGTGGGCTTAACTTCGAGACAGTCAGGTGGGTGAGAAACTGGCTGCAGGACAGGACCCAGAGAGTCATAGTGAATGGATCTGTGTCATCCTGGCAAGAAGAGGGCAGCAGTGTCATGCAGGGTTCAGTGCTCAGTCCAGTACTTTTCAAAATCTTTATTAATGATTTGGATGTGGGGGTGAAGAGCTCACTGGCCAAGTTTGCAGATGACACCAAGTTATGGGGAAGCATGGTCATGCCTGAAGATAGGCTATGGATACAGGTGGACCTAGACAGGCTAGGTAGTTGGGCGGATCAAAACCTGATGAAGTTCAATGTCGAGAAATGTGAAGTGCTCCACCTTGGGACGAGCAATTCCCAACACACCTACAGGCTTGGCAGAACCAACCTGACTAGCACCACAAATGAAAGGGACTGGGGGTAATAATATCCCATAGTATGAATATGGCAGTGCAATGCTATAGCCAGTAGGGCAAATAATACTCTGGCATGCATCAATCGATGCATCTCCAGCAAAGCCAAGGAGGTGATTCTTCCGCTCTACTCAGCACTGGTGAGACCGCAGCTGGAGGACTGCGTCCAGTTCTGGGCACCACACTTTAACAAGGACGTGGACAAGCTTGAGAGAGTCCAAGGAAGAGCCACCCAACCGTATGATCAGAGACTTAGAAGGCAAGCCATACGAGGAAAGGCTGAGGGATCTGCGACTTTTCAGCCTGAGGAAAAGAGGGCTGAGAGGGGACTTGGTAGCAGCTCACTGCTACACTAGGGGAGTACATCAAGGGCTCGGTGAGCAACTGTTCACCAGGGCACCTGAAGGGAAAACCAGGAGTAATGGCCACAAACTCCTGAAATATCAATTCAGGCTCAACATTAGGAAAAACTTCTTCACAGTCAGGGTGTTCACACTGTGGACTAAGCTCCCTCCAGAAGTGGTGCAATCACCTACCCTGGAAATTTTCAAGAGGAGACTAGACGGTCAGCTTGCTGGGGTCCTGTGACCCCCAGTTATCTTTCCTGCTTGGTGCAGGGAGTTGGACTTGATGATCTTTGGAGGTCCCTTCTGGCCTCTTACAATCTATGAATCTATGAAAAGCTAAAATTATTTTCTATAATACATTTTATATTTGCCTGTTATCTGATAGGATTAGAAAATGTTGCCATATCATGAGTTAGTGTAAGAAGCCATTCCAATTCTAGAAATAACGAGTTTAGAAAAAAAAATTAAACAGAACATATAGCTATATTGTACCTAATTGGGCACATTCTTTGATAACCAGGGGTCCAGCCGCCTCTAAAATTGCTTTGGAGACACCTTCAATCAAAAAAAGAAGAAGCACGTCAGTTTGGCAAGTCAAACTATTAAAAAATCATATCACACTTTAATGAAAAAGTTTTAATTAACTCTCAAACTTTGCCCTGTTTTCATGCAGTGAGAGCCGGAATTTACATTCCTTCTGTGGCTAAAATTCCCACGAGCCCAAAATCTGCAAGATGTTGAGCCTTGCTAGTTCCTGCTGTGCTTAGAAATCAGCATGATGTGTCGTATTGCCTGCAAAAAATATATAGCATTCATTCTTGACTGCAGATGTGCTATGCCATAGCTTTATCAATTTATAATGCACCAGTTACCAGGCTGTCTCCTTGGTTTGTACTGTATCATTCATCACATTTTTTTTCTTGTAATGGCATTTTAATATGTAAAACTTTAGTTCCTCACTGGTTGCTTTGGCTTATTTTCATATGGGATGTGTTGTAGCAGTGCTGGTCACAGTTTACTGGAGGGGCTATAGGCTCTAACATTTCTATTTATTGAAACAACTGTTATTGTGAAACAAATATAATAATCTGCACATACCTTAAATACTTCATACACCACTAGCTAAATATACCTATTTATAGGATCTGTACAGCACCTGGGCACTAAGACCTGTTTACTTAACAGAGTGTTGCCCTCTTTATGTCATAGCTGGGATAAGCACATATGCTGAAACGGAAGTTTCCTTGTTATAAATGAGAGGGAATTGCTAGCAGGCACTTTCCCCTAAAACTGAGACCTCTATGGATTTACTGTTTTGTTAACCGTCAACACAGTTCGAGAAACAGCCAAGGAGCCTGGACGGTCACCTTGCTGGGGTCACTTGACCCCCAGTTATCGTTCCTGCTTGGTGCAAGGGGCCGGACCCGATGAAATTCCGAGGCCCCTTCCGGCCTTACAATCTATGAAAATACTTTATTACAAAAGTTTTAAATATGGAAAATATTTTCCCTTATTTTCAACAACTGGCAGTGAATGTATCATTAAATTGCATATAGGCAATAAAGTACCTGAGGAGGAATTGAATGTTTCGTTGGATACGTTTACAATAGCATCCGCTTTTTCCTTGGTGATGTCTCCCGTCGCTACCTGGAAAGTTATGGAACCAATCTGCATCTCGTGGACTCCCAGTACTGGAGTTGAAACTTGCCCAAAGAAAGCTGCAAGGTAATTACAAACATACTGAGAGAGGTCTATTCTAGCAAAATTGCTATTTCCTTGAGATTACATATGCCTTGCATAGTTAGCGACATGCTGGCAACTTGGCCTCTCCAAATTTGAAATATCTTCTTTGGCACCAAGATTTCTAAACCCAGATTTCTAGCTTCTGTAGGGTCTTTACCTACCCTTCACCTCCCACCTATTAGATATTGCTATAACTTTAGCCCACTGATGTTGACAAAGTTTTGCTATGAACTTCAACAGAAGAGATGGGCTCTGTGCTGATGTGAATTCATCACCTGTGTTACCTGCTGCTCACTCATATTTTCACGATTGTGCTGGCAGGCCCGTCCTCCTACGAATTAGTAAGTGGAAAAGAAACCACCCCTGATCTTTACATAAATCCGCTGTTATCCTCGAGCAAATGAGCGTTTTGCTTTCTGCTTTCACAAGCTGTATAAGGAACAGGAATCAACCAGGCACTGACTCATTTCCATCAAGATGAAAGTTAATATGCTTGTTAGCTGGATATGGTTAGATTGGGCAAGTGGCAAAAATATCAGTTTTTTCAAATCGGCCACAACATTAATCCCTCGTTTGTTTCACTGTGAAAAGTGCCCTATCAACTAAACTACTGGATATAAGGCTCATAGGATCATTTCCTTTTTCCTCTCTTCACTATGGTCATACATGCCTTCCTTTTCCACCCCTTTGGACAAGTTGGATTGTATGATAGATAATGGAGGCATTTATTATGTAGCCCTAAGTAAGGCATACAGGCAACCCCTGCTTAACACTGTTTCGCTTAGCACTATTTCGCTATAACGCTCGTTTTAAATTGATACCTGATTTCACTTAGCGCTCAGCGAGTTTTTTTATAACACTTGCGGTCACCATCTTGGTCATTAAAAACAATTGTGATCATCATCGTGGGTTGTCAAATACTTTCAGTTTCTCTTAACACTCGTTTCACTTAATGCTCGGTTTTTCGGGAACCGATTAAGAGCACAAAGTGTGGGTTGCCTGTACGTCCGGAGTTTCCTACTGGCTGCCTATAGGCAATTCTCTGCTCAGTGCTTAGCTGTAGGTACATAAAGGTTGCCCATTGAGAACTGGAGAGCAACATGCTTTCCCAAACTAGAATACAATCAGCTTCTAGAGATATACTAAACTTCCCTTTGCAAGAATGGGAGACAGAACCAGAGAATCATAGAAAGTTAAGGTTGGAAGGGACCTTAGGAGGTCACATCTAATCCAACCCCTGCTCAAAGCAAAACCATCCCCAACTAGATCATCCCAGCCAGGGCTTTGTCTAGCCAGGTCTTAAAAACCTCCACGGATGGAGATTCCACCACCTCTCTGGGTAACTTGTTCCAGCACTTCACCACCCTCCTAGTGAGACAGTTTTTCCTAATATCCAACCTAAACCTCCCTTGCTGCAACTTGAGACCATTGCTCCTTTTTTCTGTCAAAGAGACCTAGGTGCCTAAGAGGCTAAATGGAATTGGTCCTCTGAGATGCATAATTTTTGGGTGAGTAGCAGCTATGTCCTCGAACACCTAATGGATGGAACAGTCCCTGGGCTGTATATAGTAGGAGCAGATTCTCCTTCAAGTAGCAAGGTTGGCACCATCTCCGAAGAGCAGAAGTGTCACCACCACACAATGTGTTCTCCCAGATTTTCACAGTCAAGGTTTAAAGTGTCAATCCATTCGAAAGGAAACAATATTATCTGGCCTGCAACCTACGTTCTCTTGTCACCAGCACGGCTAAAACTGCTTTAAAGAAGTCCAAACCAAACAAACAAACTTACTCGGGTTTGGGGGTGCAGCCTTGCGTTTACCTCCGAGTCTAGACTGTAGTTCATCAGTAAAGGCCTAGAAAGAGAATCAAAATTTATCAGCTGCGGTGAAGGCTTCAGAGATTTGGCCAGGAGAAACAGGTTCAAACATTAATATATTTATAAGCAGAACTAATCCACTTGAGATGTTTCTCAGCTTTTCCTTAAGAGTTTGACACTGTAACACTCATTCAGAAGACCAAATCCTGAGATCGTTCCTCACTTTTCACTGAATATTATTTATATAGACAAACTCTCAAAGTCAATGGCAGTTTGCTTGAGTATGGATTTCTGATTCCAAGACATTGACCTCAATGGCCCATCTTTCATGAACCAGAACTTTCAACATGAGGGTCAGTCACAAGATCAGGCTCATTGAGAGACTGGCATAAGGCTGTCATGGAAATCATTTGGAAATAAAATACTAAATTTGGCCTATAAAAAAACCCAGCTTAACTACATTATATTGATAATAAATAACTAGAACAAAATCAAACAGGAAAGGCATTATTTGGAGAGAAATTACCTGAATGTTATCTGTATCACTTGGGTGCAACAAAAAGTGAACTTTCTGAAGAGACTTCAAGTTGTGATTGCTACTGAATTTGAATACTTCATCAAACATTAATTTAGCAACAATGGGTTTGGGAAATCCAAACCCACCACTCCCGATTGCTGGAAAAGTGATAGACTTTAAAGACAGCTCCTGGGTTTTCTTCAGGCATTGTTGGACTATGTCTCCTAGGCTCTGTAGAACACATCAAAGATCATTTTGGTGAGTACAGTCTTTAATCTCTAATCCCAGGGAGTTTCTATTGATGCTAAAAAAAACCTCTCAATGATAAACAGACATCCACATATCTGGACACCGGTGTTAAAAGTGGGCTGGCCAAGTTTGCTGATGACACCAAGCTTTGGGGAAGAGTGTCCAGACTTGAGGATAGGCTAGTGATTCAGGCCGACCTCAACAGGCTTGCAAAGTGGGTGGATGAAAACCTGATGGCATTCAATATGGAGAAATTCAAGGTGCTCCACCTCAGGAATAAAAACCCACATCACACTTATAGGCTCAGCAAAGCTACACTCACTAGTACCACGACTGAAAGAGACTTGGCTGTCGTGACTGACCACAAGATGAACATGAGCCACCAATGTGATACTGCAGCTGGCAAAGCGAACAAAACTCTGGCTTGCATCTACCAATGCATCTCAAGCAAGACCCAGGATGTCATCCTCCCACTGTACTTGGCCTTGATGAGGCCGCATTTGGAGCACTGCATCCACTTCTGGGCTCCACAGTTTAGGAAGGACGTGGAGAAGCTTGAAAGAGTCCAGAGGAGAGCCATGCACATGATCAGAGGGGAGGATAACAGGCCTTATGAAGGGAGGCTGCGAGCCATGGGACACTTCAGCCTGGAGAAGTGCAGGCTCAGGGGTGACTTGGTGGCAGTCTGTAAGTACATAGGGGTGTACATCAGGATCTGGGGGAGTGACTGTTCACCAGAGCACCCCAAGGGATGACAAGGTCCAACAGTCACAAACTCCTGCAAGACCGTTTTAGGCTGGACATAAGGAAAAACTTCTTTACTGTCTGAGCCCCCAAGGCCTGGAATAGACTCCCCACAGCGGTGATGCAAGCACCTACTCCGGACACTTTCAAGAAATATTTGGACATTTATCTTGCTGGGATCCTATGACTCCAGCTGACTTCCCGGCCCTGGGGCGTGGGGCTGGACTCGATGATCTTACGAGGTCTATGAAATCGATGAGAACGTCTATGAAATCTATGTCAAACAAATAAATGCAACCTATTCTCTGTAAAGTACTAGCATGCAAATTTAGTGCAGGATTCCCATTAAATCTGTTTACATGTCTAGCAAGGAGCACATTCATACAAAATCAGTAGTCAGAGAAAAAGCTATAGAAAGTTTGCTACCTGCAAGGCAGTTCCTTTCCCCTGATCCCAGGTAGGAATAATAACATGAAACAGAAAACTGCAGGGCAGATTATATCCATTTGTTTGGAACACATCCCCTATATTAGCTACTTGTCCTTTTGTTTTCTCAGCAAACTCCAGCTGGAGGGCTGGTCCAGCCTTCTTCAGCAAGGCTCTGGAAAGTGGACCCACACCAAGCCTCAGATCTGTGCCAATGCCACTTACAATAACAGCCGTCTGAAACAAAAGGAAAACAACAATATTTATAACAGGATTTTAAATTGAAATATTCACCAATAAGCTATCTCGGTACCACTCTACATGAAACATAAAGGAACTTGATTCTTAATGGGGATTCTGCATGACACAGACTCAGGGGATTTCCTCTGTTATGGATAGGGACTTACCTAAATCGTGGTGGAAGCTCGTGGCGCAGCAGCACCCTTAAACTCACACTTTTCACCGTGCCCCTCCTCCTTCCCTCCCTCTCCCCCAGCCGTTGAGTAGCCAAGATGCATGCCATGGTTTTTGCATCTTGGCCACTGAGCAGCAGGGAGGTGTGGGGGGGTTAGGGTAAGGGTGGGGAGCACAGTTTGCATGGCAAAAAGAGTGAAATTAAAAGGCGCTGCTGTGGCGTGAACTTCTGCAATTTAGGTGGGCCCCTAGTTATGGCATCGTGGTTATCCCACATTTTGATACTCTCCATTCCTGGAAACATTTCCTAACTTCCTCTAGGAAGAAATGCTGCTATACAGCTTTTTCTTTGCGTGGCACATCCTAAGCAGAAGCAGCAGCTGCAAGACAGAGAAACAAATACAAGTTGCAGGCAGGTACTTGTGCACCTGATTAACTTCTCACATGGGAAGGGGCACAGATGTCTGCTTTCTTAGGCTTTGTCCTGCCATAAAAAATGCTGTGGCGGCAAAAGGCAATGTCCGCTTTCAGCCCCAGAGATGTCACGCACCTATAACTAACACCATTTTCCTTCCTCTCCCTAGCGGAGGTGGGGTGGGATGTTTAGAAAAGCAGTATCTCAGCTACAAAACTAGGATGGAGGATTTTTTGCATCATGAAAACTCAATAAAGAGAAAAACCCAGACTTTTTCTTCAAGTTCCCTTATAATATTAGAAGAGGCATTTTTAAAGGGGGATCGGTCTCCTTCAGTAACAGGGCTCCACAAGGGTCAAGAAAAGCAGTCGGTTCTACCCAGAGATATACTCATGCTCTATAAAGGGGCAGAGCAAGTCTTTGAGAGGACTTTCAATGGTCAAGAAGAAAAAAAATCACTGAAATATACTAAAAACTATGAGCACTTTAAGCACTAAACCCCCCACAAAATCTTGAAGGAAAAAAACACGGCCTAGCAGTAAGTGGAGTCACACCGAATTAGACAATGTTAGTCCAGCTAAGCCAGACTGATGTGCTCTAGATAAGCGGAGCGTGGTGGAAACAGAGATGTCATCAGCTCTTATCTTTGTCACAACCCAGTGATTTTGGTGCCTCGGCATGATGGAATTTTCCCGCCACATGAGAGCCTCTTGCACAGCAAAGGGTTTTGTTGCAACAGAAAAACCTCGGTGCAAGAGGGTTCCCGCCATTTGAATGCAAATTTGTGTCCTGCTATTGACCAGTTCTAAATTATTCCTGCGTGGCGGCTAGTAATTGGCTTGCTAGCTGTTTAAAATTCCGTGTGACTTCCGCCCAAGTCGGAGAACTTTGAGCACACTGCAGAGTGCCTCTAAAGAGATCTGACTTGTGGCTGAGCTGATCGACAGACTGATCACCTATCGATTCTTCTCCCCGTCGCCGAGCACAATCCTCGACGTACCCTTTCCCTGCCGGCTTAATTTGTGGACGGATTAGCTGGCCTGAGCCTTGCCAGCTGGAGCAACTCACATAGTTGTTCAAACGACTGGACCGTCTGCGTCGTGGCTACAAGCGGCGTAAGTAAAGTTTTTGCAACCATTGAGCTTTGTCTGCCTCTCCATTCACCAGCCCGCCCAACGAACGAGTAATTTCTAAAACACCTCGAGTTGGCTCCGGCCGGCCGAGACATGGCGACGAGGATGGGATCTAAGGGCACAGTGATGGAGATAAACCTGATCGGGTGCTGCCCCTGGTGCACCGGGACCCGCCGCGTAGAGAATGCAAACGACCTATGGGCGCATATCGCTTACCACCAGGCGGTAGAAGGGGATGAAAGAAGTATTGATGGCTACTTCTCTGTAAAGAGAGAAGAAGCAGTCGTAAAAGAATGGAGAACTAAGCTATCCCTTGGGGAGGTCGGATGCATAATGGGGAGCAACCGGGTCTATTATCGACCACCGGAGTAAACATCAGCCATCTCCCTAGAC